AGAGGTTTATGGAGTAATGGATAGACTTAGAAGCAAAGAATCCAAGACAATTTCTATGGCTATAAAGTTAACCAGTGCCTAAAAAAAACTGTCAGCTGATGACCAGAAGTGTTTCACAATTGAATCAGTCAAGGTCTATGAAAGAAGCCTTGAATACTTTCAAAAATGGAATACCTTCCATTCGAGGCTACACCTTTGAAGCACTTTTCTGTCTTGGGATTAAAAAATTACTTTGATTTCGACGATATTGTGGCTGTTGTGGAAGCTTCTGGTACATCTGCAAACGGGGATGAACTATATAATGAGTTTTGTGTACTGAGAGAGGTGATGCCAAGGCTGAAGGAAATTGACAGGGTGGATATGAAGTTGGTGGAATTCTTTAAAAGCAGTGACAGTCCAAATCTACTGAAGTCATTTGAGCACGTCTTGTGCATCCCAGTCAGCAATACTTCAGTCGAAAGGATATTTTCGATCATGAAAAATTTTTGGTCAGACGAGAGGAATAGAATAGAGGTGGAATTGGTAAAATCTGAACTTTGTGTGAAGACCAACTTCAATAAACCCTGCCTTGACTTTTATAACTAAATGTCGGAAAACAAAGTTGTTCTTCGAGCTGCTAGAAGTAACAAAAAGTACAAATTCAAAACCAAGACCTTGAAGCAACAATGACATTGAAATGAGTGTTTGATATTATAATGTTAATTCTAAAGTTTTTTGGGTCTTCTCACCATTAATTTGACTCTTTAACCCCTTTGGCCAAGTGTATCAGCGTTGATATGTTTTGGATGCAAAATATTATGTTTGGCAGGAAAATATATTAAATAGCATGCGTGATTTGGCGCTGTTGTCCCAAACACCTATTAGCCAAGACACAGTGAGGGACAAAACTGTTGCAATGTTCGACACATTGCCAGTTTATGATTCATAACTCGAGTATGACGAGTTCAATTTTACATAAATTTCAGTCAATCATACTTCAACTTCCTGGTTTTGGATTGGTGCTAGTCACATGTCAATTGGCCCTCTATTGGATGAGCTGCAGCTGTTGAAAGC